GTAGATTTTTTGTCCATTTTTCGTGATGGGACCCCTTGAAAATGGGCTTTTCCCCTATAGGGCTCACAGGGATGGCTATATCTTGGCCAATTCTTATCCGATCCTCAAGCGGAGTGTTTTTAACGATTTCTACATTGATTTGCCACCTTTCTGCATCAAAATCCTGAGACAAAATATTTTTTAGATTTTTTGTCCATTTTTCGCGATGGGACCCCTTGAAAATGGGCTTTTTCCCTATAGGACCCACAGGGATGGCTATATCTTTGCCAATTCTCATCCGATTCTCAAGCGGATTACATTAAACGATTTCTAGATCGATTTGCCACCATTCTGCATCAAAATCCTGAGACAAAATATTTTTTACATTTTTTGTCCATTTTTCGTGATGGGACCCCTGAAAATGGGCTTTTCCCCTATAGGGCTCACAGGGATGGCTATATCTTGGCCAATTTCTATCCGATCCTCAAGCGGAGTGTTTTAAACGATTTCTAGATCGATTTGCCACCATTCTGCATCAAAATCCTGAGACAAAATATTTTTTACATTTTTTGTCCATTTTTCGTGATGGGACCCCTTGAAAATGGGCTTTTTCCCTATAGGGCCCACAGGGATGGCTATATCTTTGCCAATTCCTATCCGATCCTCAAGCGGAGTGTTTTAAACGATTTCTAGATCGATTTGCCACCATTCTGCATCAAAATCCTGAGACAAAATATTTTTTACATTTTTTGTCCATTTTTCGCGATGGGACCCCTTGAAAATGGGCTTTTTCCCTATAGGGCCCACAGGGGTGGCTATATCTTTGCCAATTCTCATCCGATTCTCAAGCGGATTACATTAAACGATTTCTAGATCGATTTGCCACCATTCTGCATCAAAATCCTGAGACAAAATATTTTTTAGATTTTTTGTCCATTTTTCGTGATGGGACCCCTGAAAATGGGCTTTTCCCCTATAGGGCTCACAGGGATGGCTATATCTTGCCCAATTTCTATCCGATCCTCAAGGGGAGTGTTTTTAACGATTTCTAGATCGATTTGCCACCATTCTGCATCAAAATCCTGAGACAAAATATTTTTTACATTTTTTGTCCATTTTTCGCGATGGGACCCCTTTGAAAATGGGCTTTTCCCCTATAGGGCTCACAGGGATGGCTATATCTTTGCCAATTCTCATCCGATTCTCAAGCGGATTACATTAAACGATTTCTAGATTGATTTGCCACCATTCTGCATCAAAATCCTGAGACAAAATATTTTTTAGATTTTTTGTCCATTTTTCGTGATGGGACCCCTTGAAAATGGGCTTTTTCCCTATAGGGCCCACAGGGATGGCTATATCTTTGCCAATTCCTATCCGATCCTCAAGCGGAGTGTTTTAAACGATTTCTAGATCGATTTGCCACCATTCTGCATCAAAATCCTGAGACAAAATATTTTTTACATTTTTTGTCCATTTTTCGTGATGGGACCCCTGAAAATGGGCTTTTCCCCTATAGGGCTCACAGGGATGGCTATATCTTGGCCAATTCCTATCCGATCCTCAAGCGGAGTGTTTTAAACGATTTCTAGATCGATTTGCCACCATTCTGCATCAAAATCCTGAGACAAAATATTTTTTACATTTTTTGTCCATTTTTCGTGATGGGACCCCTTGAAAATGGGCTTTTCCCTTATAGGGCTCACAGGGATGGCTATATCTTTGCCAATTCTCATCCGATTCTCAAGGGGATTACATTAAACGATTTCTAGATCGATTTGCCACCATTCTGCATCAAAATCCTGAGACAAAATATTTTTTAGATTTTTTGTCCATTTTTCGTGATGGGACCCCTGAAAATGGGCTTTTCCCTTATAGGGCTCACAGGGATGGCTATATCTTGGCCAATTCCTATCCGATCCTCAAGCGGAGTGTTTTAACCGATTTCTAGATTGATTTGCCACCATTCTGCATCAAAATCCTGAGACAAAATATTTTGTAGATTTTTTGTCCATTTTTCGCGATGGGACCCTTTGAAAATGGGCTTTTCCCCTATAGGGCTCACAGGGATGGCTATATCTTTGCCAATTCTCATCCGATTCTCAAGCGGATTACATTAAACGATTTCTAGATCGATTTGCCACCATTCTGCATCAAAATCCTGAGACAAAATATTTTTTAGATTTTTTGTCCATTTTTCGTGATGGGACCCCTTGAAAATGGGCTTTTTCCCTATAGGGCCCACAGGGATGGCTATATCTTTGCCAATTCCTATCCGATCCTCAAGCGGAGTGTTTTAAACGATTTCTAGATCGATTTGCCACCATTCTGCATCAAAATCCTGAGACAAAATATTTTGTAGATTTTTTGTCCATTTTTCGCGATGGGACCCTTTGAAAATGGGCTTTTCCCCTATAGGGCTCACAGGGATGGCTATATCTTTGCCAATTCTCATCCGATTCTCAAGCGGATTACATTAAACGATTTCTAGATCGATTTGCCACCATTCTGCATCAAAATCCTGAGACAAAATATTTTTACATTTTTGTCCATTTTTCATGATGGGACCCCTTGAAAATGGGCTTTTTCCCTATAGGGCCCACAGGGGTGGCTATATCTTTGCCAATTCTCATCCGATTCTCAAGCGGATTACATTAAACGATTTCTAGATCGATTTGCCACCATTCTGCATCAAAATCCTGAGACAAAATATTTTTTAGATTTTTTGTCCATTTTTCGTGATGGGACCCCTGAAAATGGGCTTTTCCCCTATAGGGCTCACAGGGATGGCTATATCTTGCCCAATTTCTATCCGATCCTCAAGGGGAGTGTTTTTAACGATTTCTACATTGATTTGCCACCATTCTGCATCAAAATCCTGAGACAAAATATTTTGTAGATTTTTTGTCCATTTTTCGCGATGGGACCCTTTGAAAATGGGCTTTTCCCCTATAGGGCTCACAGGGATGGCTATATCTTTGCCAATTCTCATCCGATTCTCAAGCGGATTACATTAAACGATTTCTAGATCGATTTGCCACCATTCTGCATCAAAATCCTGAGACAAAATATTTTTTAGATTTTTTGTCCATTTTTCGCGATAGGACCCCTTGAAAATGGGCTTTTCCCCTATAGGGCTCACAGGGATGGCTATATCTTGGCCAATTCTCATCCGATCCTCAAGCGGAGTGTTTTTAACGATTTCTACATTGATTTGCCACCATTCTGCATCAAAATCCTGAGACAAAATATTTTTTACATTTTTTGTCCATTTTTCGCGATGGGACCCTTTGAAAATGGGCTTTTCCCCTATAGGGCTCACAGGGATGGCTATATCTTTGCCAATTCTCATCCGATTCTCAAGCGGATTACATTAAACGATTTCTAGATCGATTTGCCACCATTCTGCATCAAAATCCTGAGACAAAATATTTTTTAGATTTTTTGTCCATTTTTCGCGATAGGACCCTTTGAAAATGGGCTTTTCCCCTATAGGGCTCACAGGGATGGCTATATCTTGGCCAATTCTCATCCGATCCTCAAGCGGAGTGTTTTTAACGATTTCTACATTGATTTGCCACCATTCTGCATCAAAATCCTGAGACAAAATATTTTGTAGATTTTTTGTCCATTTTTCGCGATGGGACCCCTTGAAAATGGGCTTTTTCCCTATAGGGCCCACAGGGATGGCTATATCTTGGCCAATTCTCATCCGATCCTCAAGGGGAGTGTTTTTAACGATTTCTACATTGATTTGCCACCATTCTGCATCAAAATCCTGAGACAAAATATTTTTTACATTTTTTGTCCATTTTTCGCGATGGGACCCCTTGAAAATGGGCTTTTCCCCTATAGGGCTCACAGGGATGGCTATATCTTTGCCAATTCTCATCCGATTCTCAAGCGGATTACATTAAACGATTTCTAGATCGATTTGCCACCATTCTGCATCAAAATCCTGAGACAAAATATTTTTTACATTTTTTGTCCATTTTTCGCGATGGGACCCTTGAAAATGGGCTTTTCCCCTATAGGGCTCACAGGGATGGCTATATCTTTGCCAATTCTCATCCGATTCTCAAGCGGATTACATTAAACGATTTCTAGATCGATTTGCCACCATTCTGCATCAAAATCCTGAGACAAAATATTTTTTAGATTTTTTGTCCATTTTTCGTGATGGGACCCCTTGAAAATGGGCTTTTCCCCTATAGGGCTCACAGGGATGGCTATATCTTGGCCAATTCCTATCCGATCCTCAAGCGGAGTGTTTTAAACGATTTCTAGATCGATTTGCCACCATTCTGCATCAAAATCCTGAGACAAAATATTTTTTACATTTTTTGTCCATTTTTCGTGATGGGACCCCTGAAAATGGGCTTTTCCCCTATAGGGCTCACAGGGATGGCTATATCTTTGCCAATTCTCATCCGATTCTCAAGCGGATTACATTAAACGATTTCTAGATCGATTTGCCACCATTCTGCATCAAAATCCTGAGACAAAGTATTTTTTAGATTTTTTGTCCATTTTTTGCGATGGGACCCCTGAAAATGGGCTTTTCCCCTATAGGGCCCTCAGGGATGGCTATATCTTTGCCAATTCTCAATCTTCTTCCTCAAAAAAGAAACAGTTTTTAAACAAATTACTTTTGACTTTATTTGCATAAAACACAACTTTGAAACTATTTAATCAGCATACGCATGGTCAAAAATTACAATATATAGCCTTAATGCTGTTCGTCTGATTGTGTCTAGGTGTCTGCGTTTACAATTGTGATCTGTGGGCAATAGTCGTATAGAACCTGAGTTTGGAGACCCCTCTGTCTGGTGGTCGTCCTCATATTAGAATAAATCATTTTTATAATTGACAAAAAAAAAATATGATTAGTTAGTTTGTTGCTTGGAGTACACAAAGTTGAGAAGCAACGTAAACAGTGGGCGGAGTGGGAGTGGACGTGGATTGGAAACGGGTCTAGGATCGGGACTGGAACTGAACTCTATGTGTGGCTAGGAGAGAGGGGAGGGTTTCACTTTTTGTTTGGATTTTTTTTTATTTTTTTTTTGGATAAGTCTTCACCGATAGCGTCGATCCCGCTCCTCGTAGTGATCGTTGTGGCGACTCCGGCTGCTCCGCTCATAACCGCTGACCCCTTCCCGCTTGCGCTCGTGCCGCTCGGAACGGTGGCGACTCCGGCTTCTGCTCCGGCTGCGCGAGCTCTGTCTGTGCTTGTGCTTCTTCTTGTGCTTGCTGCGGTGGCGGTCGTGGTCCTTCTCTCGTTCCCTATCCCGATCCCTGTCCCGTTCCCGCTCCCTGTCTCTGTCGCGCTCCCGCTCCAAGGGCGCCGGTGGGTAGTCCTCGTAGCCGCCACGTCCTCCCCGGCCATAGGAGGGTCCCGAGTTGGGGGCATAGTAGTCACGATCGTCATGATCGTTGCGGTAGTTGTTCATCGGTGGAGGTGGATAGGCGGCGGGCCGGCCTACCTGCCCTCGTCCTCCGCCACCGCCTCCGCCTTGATCTCGGCCGGGTCCGGCGCTCTCGTCATAGTCCTGGTAGTCACCGTCCTGGCCAGCTCCGCCGGCACCTGCCGCCGTCCCCGCTGGCGGGCGACCCGTACTCAACTGGCTGACGGTGATGCCCTGCTCGCGGCAATACTGCTCTATCCGTTTCTCGATCTGTTTCTGGATGGGCACGGGTATGCGCGGGAAGAGTGTCGAGAACCAGTCCAGCTTGGTCATGAACTGGTACACCATCTGGCCAATGGTGAGGACCTGAAATCGAGGCAGTTTAGCGGCAAAAACGCTTCAAGAGGGTGCTGGGGAGATGTGATTGGTGCTCATACAGTTGACTCACCTGGCCGCCGCCCGCCTTCACGTCGATCTCCTCCTCGTCCTGCAGGTAGTCCTCATACCAGTCGTACAGATCACCAGGTGGTTGCGTGTAACGTAAATACATGAAACCTAAGAAGGAGGATACTAATATTAGGGAGTGATTTAAGGATGAAGGGGACTAAAGCTTTCTAATGGGAGAGGAGTTGTTCGGGCGGGGGGGGGGATTGGCAATATAGCTTCTAGTTTAACCTCTTGAACCTTTTATTTAAAAACCCCCTTTTTTAATTAGCTCTTCCCTTCTTCAGCCTACCAGAACTTGAAACGGCAGCTGGAGATCGGATCTATAGTCTCTGGGAAACAATTAAAACTTGAAATTGGACCTATAGTGCAAATAAACCTGTTCGATGGGCAAACATCCACCGTAACCCACGACCCACCCCGTAACCCTCTATAAGGTCTGATACAGTGTGTAGTGCAAAAAAAGGGGGAGCAGGAGCAAGCGACGGCATCATCATGACTGTGGCTGAACTCATGCAACTTACCAACACCTACCTAGTGCCCGGATGTAGGCCGAGTCTGTGTGATTGAGCAGCCCGTTGATCTGTTTCCGGGTGAGGCGCAACGTATACAGCTTATAGAGCAGGCAATAGGCCGTGGAAACGATGCCGCCGGCGCCGACGCCACGCACCTGGAATAAAATACTGAATTTAGTATCTAACTTGATAAAATCAATGGTGAGCATCGCCAACGATTAGCGCTACATTTCATAAACCACTCACACCGCCGCACATGCCCGTCTGGCCGGAGGTCTTTCGGCTGCCGCGCTCCCAGGGCTCCATGTGCTTGACCTGGTAGTAGATCTCGTCCACAACCTCGTGGTAGGTTTTCAGCTTGAAAAGGTGTACTGGAATATTAGAGAAATGGATTATATAAGGGACTTTTTAAGAAGGAAACTAGTATAGTCTAGATTATGGGGTTTAGGGATGGAAAGTAGTTATAATTGTGTCTTAATGCATCTATTCTTTCTTATATAATTAGGTTATAGCTCTTATTCTGGTCTAGCTTGTCTTGTAAAGTCTATAAGGTATCTTAGACTAATCTATCTTTTCTTGTCAGACTCTTAAAAGATGGTTTCCTAAGAAAGCATCATCTTCTACAAGGTAATTCTATGCATGATACAGCTAGAAGTTTCTACAGATAGAATAGCTTTGTACTAACTAAGGGTAGTTAGCTGAGGTTATCTCTTAGATATACATATACTTATAAGAACAATAGACACAGAATAAAAAGAACAATGAACTTAATTAATTTCTAAACCTTTCCAGATAGGCTTAGCATCCTAGAGACTCCTAGATTCTTTTAAGGCCTGGTATTAGTTCTTATTTCCTCTCAAGCATGCTCCTTCTTCCCTTGCTCTAGAGAATAGTCTTCTTCCTCTGACAGTAGTCCTATCCTTGATAGTTCCAAGCTTCTTAGCTGCTCCTGCTGTGTCTATAAGCCTTTGCTTTCTTTGGACTTCAATATCCATTTTAGTTGGAGAGTAAGGATCCTTCCAAGCTTGTCTAGCATAGTCTTAACATTTGAAACTAAAAGATACACATTTTAAACTATAAGATAAAAGACTATGACAACTAAAGTCTTAGTTATCCTTAAACACTTCTAATATTCATACAAGCTCTTTACAAATATTGACTCTTTGAAGTGAATACTAACTCTTATATATACTAACTCTCAACAATTATAAGAACTATCATAGCAAGTAGTTATCCTTTTTTTTAAAACTTCTCCTTCTTCAAAAATAACAATAAATAGTCCCTCTTCTTACATAGAACTTTCAAGAACTTGTTGGGGATAACAGAGGTCATATATTACCAGATCTAATCATACATATAACGAGTTATGAAATAGACCACACTTAAAATATACTTATACAAGACTATAAAAATAATTTCTTTCAATTATCCATATTTCTCGCAATATAAACTATAAAGCTTGAAGATTCTTGAAGAAGCACCAGAAGAATCTATGAAGTCTTGGAAGATTAGCAACGCTTTCTTTCAACAAAAACAAAAACACACTGAAACTGGCAGAACAAAAAAAAGGCGGTAAAAATTTGATGGTCAGAGCACAGACTCACCTTTGAAGTAGCTAGAGCTCTGAATGTTGGCCAGGATCAGGGGATTGAGGTTCATTGAGGTCTCGTTGCCCCAAAAGGGCAGCGTGTTGTGCTGCTTGCCCACGCCGGCCTTCTTCCCACTGGCAGCTCCGCCACCGCCGCCGCCGCCGCCGGCCGAAGATGACGCCGAATACTCTGCTTGGTAGAAGGGGGGAGGTTGGAACGCATGAGTATATACTGTTTTGGAGGGAAATGCTGGACAGGATCTGGACTTACCTTCCTCCATTCCAACAACTAGTGCTTCTCCTCAATGGCGGGCATTAATTCCACAGCTTCACGGGGTATCTGCGCGCGAAAAATTCAACAGCAGAGCAACGAACACACAATTCGCCAAGCGAGACGTTCTTTTTCGTGGGCCAGTGGTGGCACTCGGCTGCCGATATCGAAAATATTTGCTTATATCGATATTTCGATAGTGACTGTGATCCGACAATCGATAGTTAGGATTGAAATTTGAAATAATTGTGTGACTAGAAATTACAAAATTTAAATATAAAGAAAATGTTACTTAAACTACAATTTCTTTGTTAAAATATATAAAAAAAAATCGTAATTTTTTAGTTTTTATATTTTTATTGTAATTAAACATATTTTTATTTTGTAATGTATTTTTTATATCGTTTAAAATACCTGAAATATCGCAAAAAGTATAGTTTTTATTTATTTAAACATGCGGATGTCATAATATCCAAGCATCATGTTTTGATTAAAAAATAAAATTAAAGAAATTAATTGAAGTATCTATACTTGATCCTTATAGCGTAGGAAACTAAAGTAAAAACGTACCAATATTTGGTAAATAAATACTATTAATAAAAATATCAAAATTAGTTACTTCATCATCATAAAATTACTATTTATTTTCTTAAGAGTGTGTGTGTGTATTTACACTGTAATAAAAAAATCCTTAATATTTATCTTAAATAAGGAAATATTAAAATTTCTACATAAAATAATAATAAACCTCAATTCTTGTTAGTTTATTGGTTTTTTTTTCTTTTAAAATAGAGAAAATATAAAAAAAATATGCAAAACTTCGCAAATTCTTCTTTTTTAACTATAGTTATAGTTAGTTATAGAATATTGATTTAATATTCTTTATAGATTATACTTATTAAGTTTATATTAAAATTTCCTTATTAAGTACTTTAATCTCAGTGAATTTAAGAATAATTCCAATAAAGCATTTAAAACCTGCCACATTATTTGTATTAACCATTTTATAGATAGATTATTGATTATTTAATTATCTGTCAAACAATAAACGGTTTCTTTGTCTCCAAACTTGAAATCAATTATCTATGTATATCGATTGGCTATAATCCACACATCCTTTTGTCATAAAATATATGTATATATGAGCCCCGAGCCTAGAAGTAGGCTTTAATTTTAGGATGACCCACAAAACTATGCTAAAGAAAACACAATTTCATAGATTTTTTATTTTCTTCTTTTTTATTTAGGATTTTTTTTTATACAATAACTTAACATTTTGTTGGTTTTGTTTTCTTTTTTTTTTTTTTTGGAATCGGAAATTTACAATATTAAATATTGATTTTATTGCTGCTCTGGCTGCCGGTTTTTTACTGATTTGTTTTGCGGATTTTTTGCATAATTTGGTTTGGAAACAATATTGCTATTTTTTTTTATATATCGGTCTGTTTATGTATACATATACATATATATACTTGTTTTTATTTTGTATTTTGTATTTTTTGTTTTTTTTTTTTAATTTATTTACTTTACGTTTATCAAATGCAGCACATAGATGCTAGGCTGTAGGTGTGTAAGTGTGGGTGTGTGAGTGAGAGTGTGGGTGTTACTTCCTTTTTCGGTGTTCTCTTTACTTTGCTATTTGGTTGCTGCTTTTTTTTATATATTTTCGCTCAGTGTAAACTGTCTTGTACCTCGCTTTGCTTGATTTTCCTGCTTCATTGCTTTTGATTTTTTTTTATTTATTTTATTTTTTTTTTCAACTAAAAAAAATACTGAGTGAGAGGGGTGAGGTGGCTGTGGTGCAAAGGGGGTGGTGGTGTGGTGCCTAACTAAGCTGAAAAAAAAAACGGTGGTTCTTCCTTTTTTTCTACACTTTTCCTGGCCTCTTTTGTTCTCTCTATCTCTCTCTCTCTTTTCAATTGAAGCTTCTTCAAAGAGAAATGTATAAGCTTCTCTTATTTAAACCCTCTTTTGTCCCAGCACCGGTCGGTCGGTCGAGCTTACATCGTTTACAGTTATTTTTTCTTTGATCAGCCGCTAACAGTGGGCCCCAAAAGTCAGTGCACCCACACTTTCAGAGCCCACAGTGTGTGAATCATGTATATATGTATATAATGTTATTAAAAAATAATTTCTCATTACTTTTTTAGCCTTAGAAAATTGGGATTTGTTGTTTTTTTCTTTTTAATTTCATTTTCTACTATTTCATCTGTTCATCGTTCTCGTTTTCGCTTTATTTTTCTTCATATATATATATATATATGTGTATATATTTAGTATATACGCGTGTGTGTGTGTGTTTTGTATATGTATGTGTGGGTGTGTGTATATTTGTTTTAAGTTTTAACATTTAATTTACTTTCATCAGCATCATCGTCCTCATATAAATAAAAATAAATACATTTTTCTTTAGATTAATTTTTTTTTATGCTTTTCGTTTTTTTTTTTAATCATTTATGCATGAAAGCAGCAAAAACGTTCTTCGATTTAAATTTTTATATTTTTTTTGTTTTTCGAATTTTTTATCGAGGAACGTTCCATCTTTTAAAGAGCTGCACTAAATTTTACAATTATTAAAAATCCATACACATCCATATGTACACATGTATGTGTAATCTATATATTGAGTTTTAGGTCAAAAGTCGCGTTACAAAAAAAAAATAAATGTAACGAAAAAAAAAATGTATGTATAATGTATGTATAATAATGTTGAATTGCAATTATTCCAGACTAACAAATATATATAAATATATATAATTATATATAACATATACATGAATATATATATCTATATATATAAATATATAAGTATTTTTAATCTTAGATCCATTCTTTTTTTTTAAGGATTTACAATTCAAGTTTGGATTTTTTTTAGCCATTTTTTTGTTTTTTTGTCCAGCTGTTGCTATAATTTTGGCTCTCAGTGTTGCGCTGCTGCTGCTCCTGCTCCTGCTCCTGCTGCTTCTTGTTCTGTCGTGTTCTTCTCTCCGTTAGCTGCCAGATGGTTGCCAGATAGTTATATTTTTTTTTTCTTCTTAAGTTGTTGGTCAGAGAGCTTTAAGGTTTTCGTTCTATTTTTTTTTTTGAGTGTTTTTGTTTTGTTTTTGTTTTTGTTTTTGTTTTTGTTGTTGTTGCAATTGAAAGCAAAGCCAAGCGTTTTAGGCGGCATGAAAAATATCAACAACTCCGGTTCCGGTTTCCTGTTTCCCCAAAAAACATTAACATCCAAAAACACACCGTTAGCCGGAAAATAATGTCCCCCTCCATCTCTTCTTCTTTATCTTGCTCTTCTTCATTATCATCATCGCTTATGTTTATGCATTTTCGTCCTTTCTGATCTTCTTTTTCGTGTTTCTGATCCTCCTCCACCACATTTTCTCTTCTCTTCTCTTCTGCTCTCTTTTCTCCGCTGTGCTGATTATTGGATCACACAGCATCCCTTCTTCTTGTTCTTCTTCTCGTCGATGACCACGTGACTGGCAGAGGTGGGTCCCGGTACCACCTGCTTGGAGACCTGTCCCAGATTGGTAACCCCATTGTTGGCACCACCACCACCGTTGCTCTGATCCGCCGACGTCGCTGACTTGTCGCCAGCCTCCAGCTTGCCGGCATGGGAATTTGTACCATTTTGTGCTGTTGCTTGATTCTGCGAGAGCTGTAAAGGAAGGTAGTGGATGATTAGGTAACCCATTAAGGGGGGTATCTGCTATATATATACTCACGTTTGTTTTGGTCACGCTCTCGCCAATCACTGTTCCGCCATTGCAATTATCATCCGCATGTGCGCTACCATTGCCTATTGTACGGTCCTCTGTGGGTGTGATGGGTTTACCTCCTAAAAAAAGGGGGGAGGTCCATTACGAAATGCATCAAAGAGAAGAAAAAAAAGCGGAAAGGGGAAACCATCAGTATTACAGTTTATTATTATTTTCCCACCCACAAGTTTTTCCCACAAAACTAGTTATGAGGAAACCCCCTAGATCATTAAAATATTATAGATATTATAGATATTATATGTATTCCTACTAATTATAAACATTATAGATCATTAAAAGTCCATTATACGACTTGACTTTGATATTTTCTTTGAAAATAATGATTGAAAATAATATTTCAAGAATTTCAGGAATAAAACGTGCAATTTTCAATGATTTTTCCAAAAAGGAAATAAACTAAAATGTCAAAAAATTATATACTTTCTGACCTCTTAAATATTAAATCTTAATTTTGCTGGAAATGAAAAATAAATAAACGTGATGGAATGTGAAATAAATAAAAATATACAAATTTTAAAAGAAAATTTGGATAGAATTTGAAAATGTTTGAAGCTAAATCTTAATTATCTTAAGAAAATATAAGGATTTTTTAAGATTCTATAATGATTCTATGATTCTGATTATGATAGATGGGGCTCTGAAAGAACCAAATCCCTAAAACAAACCCATATTTTATTAAAATTTTAAAGTTTGAAGCTAAATTATAAATATCTTGACGAAAAATAGTACTTTCTTTGATTCTATAATGATATTATAATTCCGAATATGGTAGATTAGGTTCTAAAAGCTTCAAATCTTGAAAACAACCCCATAACTTATTAAAATTTAAAGAAATACTTCACTTATCTTTAGAAAAAATAGTGATTTTATGAATTCTTTAATGAATTCTATGATATGAGATAGTCTATAAGGCTATAGAAACCTCAAAACCCTAAAAAGAACCCATAACTCATTAATATTTAAAGATATACCTAAAATATCTTGTTAAAAAAAAGTGATTTGATAAATTCTACAGAGATATAAGATGTTTTATAAGGCCCCAAATATAGATGTTCTATATAGAAGCCCTAAATCCCTGAAACCCAATATAATAAACCCAATAATTCATTAAAATTTAAGGCTATATCACACTTTTCTTTAAAAAATAGTGCTTTCATAGATTCTACAATGGATTCTACGATATGTGATGCTCTATAAGGCTCTATAAGTTCCAAATCCCTAAAAAGAGCCCATAAATTATTAAAGTTTAAAGATATTTCACAAATATCTCAATAAAACATAGCCCTTTTATAAATTCTATAATGAATTCTATAATATATGATTATAGATCTGTAGGGCCTATAGACCTAGTTTCCAAAAATAAACCCCATAACTTACCCCTAATCATGTTGACGATTTCATCAGCCTCTCTGGAGAGATCGCCGCCTGGACGAAATGGGTTATCCCAGCCGGAATCAGTGCTGCAAGGCAAGGATGCAATAGGAATTAATATTATTATAATTATGAAATTTAAAACAATAAAGTATTAAAAAATATGAATAAGTAATAATAGTTATAAATAAAGTAGTAAAAACTATAAAGAAGGACTATATATCTATGCTTAGAATCTAGGCCCTATATATATTGAGTTTCTTGACACAGATTATGATGATCATCGCAGAGTCTTGAAGATCTAAAAACAGACTATGAATCGGGTTTATTATGCAGATCATGAATGTGATCTTGATATACTTTGGTATTAAAAGGTATATTGTAAGACAATGCTCTTCTTATTCTTATGAAAGGAAAAAGCTTATTTTTACACTTCTATTATTAAAATATAACAAGATCTATATAGATATTAGCTCAAGGAGTTGGAAGAGTTGTACAGGACTATTTAAAAAATGGTATTTATGTTGAAATATGATGGTTCTTATCTTTCTTGGAATTAGATCCCTGAGTTCCTAAGAATAAACGGACAGTTTTTATAAGAAACTAGAGTATATAATCTTATTAGGCTTCTTAATCTTATTATTAAAATATGAAAAGATCTACTAAGATCTTAACTTATAAGGTTAGAAGTCAGATAGGACTAAAAAAACCCGGTACTTATTGTGGTATATGAAGATTCTAAGTCTCATTTCCTTGCATTCCTCAGTTTTAAGGACAAAAGGAACTTTACATAGCCTGTGTTTAGGCAGAACTACCTATATAATTATATAATATTATGGAGATAGTCTATAAGAAACAGATAATAAAACAATTAAAGATCTAGATCCTAACTTTAGGTATTAAGAATCAAAGGACTATATGATATGCGGTACTTATAAGGAAATATAATAATCCTTACTCTCATTTCTGAAGATATCAGACAGAATATCAGACAAACTACATTATATCATCAATATTATGGGAATAGATCTAGATCCTAACTCATAATGAACTAACTTTTATTAAGAATCACATAGGGACTGTATGATAACCGGTACTTAAGATGGTATATTATGAACCATACTCCTATTTCCTAAGATTCTAGAGATTTTAAGGAGAAAGAGACCCTTTCTAAGGACAGTATCTATACAAAACTATATTATTTTATAATATTATAGAGATATTCTATAAGAAGCGGGTAATAACTCATAAAAGATCGAGATCCTAACTTGGAATTTAAAGAATAATAAAGAACTATCTAATACCCGATACTTATGATGGTATATAATGATCTTAAGTCTTATTTTCATCCATTCTAGAGATTCTAAGGACAAAAGGAGGTTTAATCAGGATTTAGGGACCTCATAAGGATCTCATTAGGACAGACGGACACTTTATACGGACATTTTCTACACAACACGATATAATAATCCTTAATAATAATAAGGATTTAATAATAAAACGGTATGAGATAATCCTTTGCCCTACTTCCTAAGACCACTTTTCATACAAAACTAATAATAATTTCTTAATACTCTTCTTATTAAAATACCCTTCCGATAGTACCTCTGTTGGCGGTCATAGGCCGCTCCCAGGCCGAGCTGGTGCTGCTGCTGCATCGCCGCCACCGCCGTCTCGTAGTCCAAGCTGTAGTTGTAGGCGAGTCCGCCGTCTATCGAATCCAGCAGATACTCTGCCGGTGGACAGATCTGCTGCGGCTGGTTGCTTTGGTAAATCGAAACGCGTACAATCGAGCGCTCCGCTCTGAAAAAAAATAAAAAAAATAAATAAATTAGAGAATTAGAAAGAATTCGAGAGAGAGAAAAAAAAATCACGCATCACCGCATGTGACCTTAGGAATAGTTGAGCAAGTGCGTCATCTAGAGAGGAGCTGGCCATACCCAACTCACCTCAATGTCAATTAAATTAAGTCATTTGCTAAATTGGCAATAGAAGTAGAATTAAAATAAAAAAAATAAAAAAAACTTTACTCTTCCATCAGGCTCTGCTTGACGGCATCCGATATGGGACTATTCTGGAAGGACAAGTCCACCACCTGATTCTCAACATTATCCTCAATATCTTCATACTCTTCATCATCATAATCGGTGGAACCGGGACCTTCGTCTATATACTCCATTGACTCATAGGCCTGCGCCATTAAATCTTCATCCTCATCTTCGGGAAAACTATTCCACATATAACGACTCATTTTCCACTTTTCTTTTCTTTTTTAGTTTTATTTTTCCAGGGAAGTTTTTTCTCCAAATATGATTGAAGGAATGAATACAATTTTCACCAATGACACGTTTGATTTGAGGGTCAGGGGTTACTTGATTTCAACTTAAAATTCCTAAAATGTATGGCCTACTTAAACTAAACCTTATTAAAAATTATAGAATCAACTGTTTTTTTGAATCATTTTTAAATAGAAGAAAACTTTGGCATAGTTTTGAACTCTTAATTTAAGCTATTTTTTGTCTAGGAGAGTTTTTTTTAGCTTTTATGAAAGTAAGTTACTTTTGAACTCCTTATTTAAACTTTTTACCAAATTTATAAGCAATTTTTAGCTTTTTTTTAAAAAGAAAACCCCTTAAAACCGCCTTCTCTCTTTCTTAACTTTAACTTTAAAATGAATATTTTTGAATGTCTGTTTATTTTTAATTATAAATATCTATAAAAACTACCTCAAAAATATAATTTTTTTAAAAGATTTTTCCCTGGCTATAATTTATAGACTATAGCTTGACTGAAAACTACAATTTTGATGGGAATATAAAGTTTTTAAGAATTTTGTATCATTTTTTTTAGAACAAACCCTCATTTAAATACCCTTTTTTCTTTAGAAACTTAAGCTTTCTTTACTTTAGACTCATTCTTGATTCAAAAAATGTTTATTTTTAGTTATTTTAACATTTTTTGGCCTAAGAATATAAAGAAAACCTAAAAAATATACATCTTTTTATGATTTTCTCCTCACTACAGTTTCGAACTTGTACCTAAAAATTCATTTTTGGTTTAAACTTTAAACTTACTTTAAATTCTTAACTTTTTTTACAAATTCTGCAATTATTCTTTAGCTCTTTTGAGTAGGAAACCCTCCTAAGCTCCTAAAGATGTATTTTTTCAATTTCCTAATGCTTTAGATGCGAACTCTGACCTTAAAGATACATTTTTAGTTAAAACTTTAACTTAGTTTATTGTCTAAACCCTATAAGCAAACTATCTAAGCAATCTCTAGTCTTTTTTAAGAAGAAACCCCCCTTAAAACCCCCTCGTTTCTTTATAAACTTTACCTTTAGACCCAATCTTGACCCTGAACTTGCTTTAATCCAGTTTAAAAACGCTTTTTTGGATTTTATTTTCCCAATTCTGTATTGGCCTTGGAATCAACTTGATAAATCAGTTTAAACAAATGGATTTGATTTTATGGCGCACTTTATTTTACAGGTAAGTTTTTTTTTTTTTTTTTACATTTTTTGTTGTTTTTTTTTTTATCTATATAACTGGTTTATGTCGATGACTTCATTTATGACGGCTACGAGATAGTGTAAAAAAAAAAAAAAATCCATAGGTTTACTGAACCGAAACGCACTGTAAAGCGATCTACGAATACGCAGCAGAAAGAGGAACAAAAATAAAAGAGACTCCAAGATCATCGCCATCTCGAATCATAATTTAATAGAATTTTTTTATTTTTTTTTTCCTTAAAATCGAACCAAACAAATCATTGACACACTATATATTAGCCCACACCACCCTAAAAACCACCCACTCCACTATCACCACCACACACACACACACACACACATACACATCTACTATCTGTTTACATTTCAAATACACTTCATAACCAAAAGTTTTTTTTTTTTTTTTTTTTTTTTTTTGCCGAACATGTGAAGATTACGTCATGTGCCGAAATTGATATGCAATAACAACAACAACAAACAACAACAACTACATAACAAGTACAACTGTCTACAACTGGAACAAGAAGAAGAAGAAGAACAAGAACAAGACGAAGACCAACAACAACCAAAACAAGGGTTACAAGCTCAAAAAAAAACAAGTTTCCAACAAAAGATACATTTCCAAAGTGTATCTTTAAGATACAAACACGAAGCTCGGGGTTAGATAGAAGTACATTTTAAACATCAAGCTCATAAATGCGGATTCAAGTGCCCAGAAAATTAAAGAACTTAGAAAAACATGAGAAATTAAAAGCCAAAAAAAAAAAAAAAAAGAGAAATAATAAGAGAAGAAACGAGAAAAAACTTGTTGCCATTAAGAAGAAGATCAGGAAGACAGAAAGAGAAGGCTGACCTAGCCAGGGAGGGGAGTGGGGGGCGATGGAGGAGGAGTAGACAAAGTAGTCGGGGGAGCAACATGAACTGTAAATGGGAAACTGAAGTAGATGCTGAAGATACAAAAAAAACAACAACAACAACAACACCAACAGCATCAGCTGCGATGAGAGCATCATCACATTGCCGCCAACGCTCCAAGAGCAGTGCTGAGAATCTAACCGTTTTCCCGCTAAATTTCAAAAGCAGGTGGATTTTGGCAGGTGATCTAGGGTTCAGTTTTAAAACAAGGTTTTTAGCTTTAAAACTAAGAGGTTTTTAAATAGTTTTTGGTGAGAATTTAGAGATATTTTAGAGATATTTTTATAGTTATGGAAATTAAGCAAAAAAAGAAGGAAATAAAAGCTAAGGAATCAAAAATAATGATTTTAAGAGGTAACTCTCCTATAACTCCTATAACTTACTCTTAAAATAGAGCTATTTTATATATTTTCCACTTGATAGAAATTTTAAGACACCATAAGGAGGAGCCTATAGGTCATACGTTTTTAAGAGAAAGTGGTGCAATAAAAACAGAAAATCTTCAAAAAACAGTATAGTATGAGAAGAAAGTGTAGTATAATCTAGTATAGTCTGTATAGTCTATACATAGTCTGTATATAGTCTGTGTAAGTATAGTACGTATAGTAAGTTTAATCAAGAAATACTTCATGTATAGTTCCTTATTTAGAGTTTCTCAGGGATAAACATCGAAATAGTTTCTAGAAACCGTAGAACATCCAAGAAACATAATTTTGTCCTAAAATCCTTAAGATATGTAGGATTTTTTATAGAAATTGTAACTTCTATCGAAAAAATACCCCTATTTTGGTCTACTCTAGTTCTATATTCGACAAACATTTTTTTAAAAAGACAAAATAAAACCACCAAAAGGCAACTTTAATTATCTAGTCATAATATAATGTCATAATAGGTCATAATAAGTCATAATCTAGTCATATATACGTATATTATCATAATATAATATAATATATCTAGTCAGTCATCAATATTTTAGTTATTCCTTCAAAGTAATAAAATCTATAAAATCTATCTATAGTTTTCAAAAGATTAAGTTACCTATTTAAGCATTTAAGCTTGAAAAATATATATATTTTCTTTCTAAAAATAATTTTCTTTCCTTTTAGGAATCTGAAATAAGGCTAAAACACATTCCAGTTGCTATTTCTTCATAAAATACGTGTAATTTCAACCATATTTTTATAAAACTAGAAATAAATTATACCAAAAAGAAGTAAAAAATTAATCTAAGTTATTAAATTAAAAAAATATATATAGTTTCTTGTTAAAAAACGTATAAACTATTATTTTTTTTAACTAAAACACCTGATTTCCAGCTAGAATCTGGCCACATTTCTAAGATCAGCTGGCGAGCTTACTGGGCAACACTGATGGTAGTGGGATATGACGCCGGCAGCGCGGCGGCTTTTCAATTAGTTTTGGTTTTTGTTTTTGGGGCACACACGCGAACAAGAAGAAGCAGCAGCAGCAGCAGCAAGGAGAAGGGCCCCAAGGGGGGGGGGCACTACTGACAAGGGGGCAGTATAGTAGTGAGTGCGACCGAGATGGCCATATTGAGAGTGAAAATTAATTTAACAAATTATGCGACCAGCTGACGGGCCCCACCCGCAAAAAAAAAACCTGGAAAGAAGAAGAAAACAAAAATCGAGAAAAGCGGAAAAAATAAAATCATTTTTGCTATTTTGCACTTGAAAAATGGAAAACCAACCAAACACACACACACATACACTAGCACACAATACACTTGCAATAAAAACAAGCACGCACAAGCGCTTGCAGGTAAATATGAGAGGAGAGAGAGGGGGGGAGTAGAGGGAGGAGAGGAATAACTGCAATACGGAGGTTTGTTTGTTTTGTTGTTGAAGGAATTTCATTCGATTTTATAATTTCAACACGTACCCTATACTATATTGTATAATATGTATATATATATATGTACATATAGTATAAATAACAGCGACTAAAGCTAATTTATGTACAAACAAGGCGCTATTTTAACACAAACACACATACACTAATACATTTATTTTAATTGCGTTCAGTGGGGTAGCTTAAAGTGACCAAAAAGGGGGGCTAAGTGGGGGGTGGCGGGGAGGGGAGGGGAGAGATCCACGGGTGCGGTGGCTCATCTACCGCTCTCTTCTCTACCGCTCCCGTTCCCTCTCTTATTTAGTATATGTATAGATGTGTGTGTGTGTATTATTTTTTGCGATGAACTCACTCACTGCGCGCATCCCATGGAGCAACTAAACAACAACAACAACAACAATTACAAGAGTACTCTACTAGCCGTTGTGTGGCATTAGTATGGGTTGGCCTGTGAACCAAATAGACCGAATTACTTTCACATTGTTCAATTTTTGTGCCATTTTACCGTAT